AACTTGTGATTCCATCTATCTGTCTTGGGCCTTCACTCGCAGCAACCTCCTTGTGGTGAGGCCTGGGCAATCGGTATTGTCTTCGGTAAAGTATTGTAAAACGAAGATAATATCGAGCAAATGGCTGCGAATTTTGCATTTATTTCGTAACAGCATGTTCTATGTTACAGCGGACTTTAAAGGCGAAGGTATAAATATAATAAGGTATAAATATATATATACATATACATAAACAGGCATCATTTTTCTTTGTAACGAATTACATTCGAAGCTTAAAGAACGTAGATTAGTACACTCTAGCATCTGGGAACCAGTAATTACAAGAACATGGGTAAAATCACAATTGTTTGCAACGGTTTACACTGTATCCCGTCATACGTCCCCCGTTTAGTTCATTTTGGACAATTCTTACAACGTTATACTGACAACTTTTGTCTTTACCAAGCTCTATAACCCCGAAGGCTGCAATAAACGAGCGCTTACCATATAACGTATTACCTAACCTCTATGCAACAACAATATTTCGTTTGCTCCTCATTAATACGTTGTTATTGAGATATCTGACTATTGATTATTATAAAACAGATCAGGAGCAATTTTTTGGTGCCATAATATTTGTGGAAAAAGGCCATTTACTACCTATTTTGTTAAGAACAAATTTTTGCTTTTTCTTTTGCGAATATCTCATTAACTATTAACGGTGCTGTGGGAGCAATTTCAGATTCGGAAGGAGCAAATTGGGAGGAATTTTTTGAGATATAAGTCGTTAAGATACGTTTACATTCGGCGCCAACTATTTTCCGGTGGTGTACTCTTATATCTCGTCTGTGCTTGTACTTGATTTTGAAATAAGGTTGATACTACCATTTCCTCTCGTTCCAGCATCAGATAAAGCATTGATTTAGAATCGTGCATTGTTCTTTAAAAATTGCATGTGCTGATTACATAGCAACGTTATTCAGCATGATTTAAAAATTCACTTTTGCAATATTATTCATATGTACAGAAAATGCAAATGTGTAATCGACTGTCTCAGAACTTTCAAGAACCGAGTAAGAATTTGAGCACATAAAAAATTAGATTAATAATTATTAAAAAACTTTACATGTATTTTATGTAAAAACGTATCTTAATTCATATATTTTTCAATGTAAAAATTTACAAAAAACAAGAACAGCCATGAAAATAAATGACATTATCTTCTGATGAACATGCAGAAACCTTCCTGTATCACACCTGTATGTAATTGAGAGCCAGAAATTACATATTATCATGTCCCTATCATGTGTTGTAATAGTAATAAAAAGCCGCGAGAAGTAATTACAAATTCATATTCAATTCTGTCGAAGTTTTTGTAATTACATATTTTTCATTTACTTAATAAATGAAGTGACAATAACTTATTGACATTATAGTTTAAGTGTTTATTAAATCATTCAATCATTAAATCATTAAACATGGTTATAATTATTGAAAGTTATATGTGGGTTCTACACCAATTGCAAGCAAAGATCAGAAGAATCACGTCATCAACAAGTATGTACCGTTTTGTAAGTATAGAATTATTACACGCGCATACCACCATATGCATACTCATTTAAATATTTTTTAGACTATACTGGAACATAAACGCGCATACGTTTATCAGTCTTTCTCGGTGAGTCTATATTATAGTACTAAGAATTCTAGTATTAACGATTATGGTAACAGTACATCGTATTTACTATACTCCATTTAATCCAGTGTGTGTCCTATAATTATAAACAGATACTTATTAAACGTTCAATTAAAAAAATATTTTTAATATATTTGGATATAGAATATTGCAAATACAGACGAAAAATTACCTATTGCTTCGAGTATTTTACTATTTATATTTCAACGGCAAATGACATAAACTACCTTTACCATGTATCAAAACAAAGTAATTTTTATTTAATTTATTTCAAATAAAGTAGTATGTAATATAGAATCCAGAGTATAAATTATTAATTTTTGGGTCAGAAATTATTTACGAAGCTATGTCAAAACATACTCATCCAACATTACAGAAATACATACAAAGAACAAATTTATTAGAAATTAAAAAACTAAACAATTCAGGAACAAGTCAAAAAAAAGTTATTTTTTACTTCTAACATAATAAAATAATTTATTATTTAAATGCCTCTGTTGAAACTATTTTACACTAATAATTCCTGGGTTTAGTTTTTATGTGTTACAAAAAGAATTTGTATTTTCTTTCGTCTTGACTCATAATCACTCGGCTTGCTTTAAATACAATTTCATTTATCGTGTCGATAATCCATTAAAATGCAGAGAGACCATAAAAGTGTATTTAATTGTCTGAGAATAATCAGGTGTTTCGTTACTGCCATAAATAACGATTCTTGCAGTAGAAGTGAGTGGAAGGGACATCGTGGGCGAGAGAAAAGAAATATGGCGTAGGTAGAAACGTGCTTACACGGATTAAAAATCTCAGCATTCCGTCTCGAAATTATTAACAAACCTGCCTGAATATTCCGGAAACAATTAATAGTAACAGAAGTAAAAGTCTTCATAATCTTTTTATCAATTATAATAAGAAGAAATATTTCATAAACATGTTAAGGAAATCAGTGTGAATTAATCACCGATGTTGCTTTGCAACGTATTATCATTGAAATAAAATTAATATTAATGTTACTACGCTGAATGATCGCATGATATCATCGTTTGTAAATCTATTCAGTTGTTGCTGATGAAGTTTTGTAGCGGTACTTGTCACTATATTCAACTTTAAATGAGTTTCGCATTTAAAGAAATATATCTACACTGTTAACAGAAGTTTTTTTTACTTACTCTTTGTTGCTGTATATTGAGTGTATCCTTTTTAACAGAGACTTAGGTGCAGTTTGATACTGTGAGATTGATTTATGGAATATTCATTGTAGAATATATTTCATAAGAAAGACACATACACTTTAACATGTATGCATTACAGATATTGGTCATATTTAATAATTTTCATTAATGGAACTATAATCAAATATGATATGCAGAGAAATTCCTCAGTTTCTATACAATTAATAATAAATATGAGCTTTTTACGATTTGAGTAAAAATACAAACAGGTTTTTATTTGCAACCAATGAGACGACAGTTTAATTTTTTCTCCCCTAAACATAAATAGAAATAGTTTCTATGAACATGTTGACCGATTCTGCTCACGCGCCATTTTGTCACCAGTTTTTCAAACGTGCTTCCATCAGACATAACAGGTATGTAAAGCGCAGAATGCTTTAAATTGTCAACTATAATATAACATATAACCGTACATATCTAAAGCATATAAAAGAAATCATTACGTTGAGTATTTCGTTTATCTTGCCACCATTTATAATTCAACTATTTTTACCGACACAAAAAAATAATGGTTGACAATTTTAAGTCTGCCATCATTAATACTTGCTTTAGTTTTAATCATATGAATTTTCTTACTCCTTGTGAGTAACAAGTTATGACCTCGACTGTCTGTAACATGTTGACTTTCTTATGTTAAATGATCCTGTATTACATTTGTTGTTTCTTAATATAGTATATTCTCATTGAGGCACTGTATTATCCTCGTTCATATAAAATATTCTCTTTTTCCCAAATAAATTATGGGAACTGCAAAGCCATTTAAAAAATTACTTCTATTAACTGGTATAATTCCTGTACGACTTACTATTCTTTCAAAACAATGAATAACATTTTCGTAACTTGGAAAAAATTAAAACTACAAACAATTGATTAAATTTTTGTATCACCTTCTTTATACAAAAGATTTCTTATTATTCATTGCAATTTTCTTGCTGACTTGTTCCTTGTTAAGTTTAAATACGTCTATTAAAAGGTACTTTTTTCTGTTCACTATGGCGCGGAGAAATACCCAATTAACTGAAATTTAACTTGTGTTATTAGAAGAATACATGTTCTAGGCATGTACGGCACATAAAAGTGTCTAAACCACATTGAAAACATAACTTTAACAAATCGTCGCCCGAGTACCTAACTGTTCTAACTCCATTTTTAAAACAAGTTTTAGTTAATCTACGTGCGTCTCATTTAGCCCAAAGAATACAAATTCACCATGATATAAAGAAAATTCAACCTAGAATACTTTGAGTTTTTTTTAATAGTTATATCTCTAAATACTAACAACAATTAAAATTTTATGTTCATAATAAGATAAAATTTTGTGAATTATTGTAATAAATAGCTATTCAGTAGATGATATTATAGTGTGTTTGATTATTTCACTACTTTCCCACTTCTATAATATTAAACTTCGTAATTTTAAAACTCAGGTTTCTCAGTTTACAAACTAGTGGAGATAGAACAATTAAGAACTAGAGTGACGATATATTAACATAATTTGTATACTACTGCTAAGCTCATTTATCTTCTCATCAAAGAAATACATTCATTCTGATTCTAAATTTTATAACCTACTTTATACAGAAGGAAATTCGCATAAACATCTGTGATATAAGCAACGTAACATTCGCTTTACATAGAATATAATCACTATACCGTTAGATACTTATGCAAATGTATTTGTTTAAGATCAACTTACAAACAGAATCAATAAATAAATTTATTTTCTTGACGAGGAGTTCTGTCAAATTGAAAATCGAATATAAACTACATAAAACTCAATTAAAGCTTCTATTTTATCGCTTTTCGCAAATTTGTTTCCAGTCGAAACGTATAAAAGCCGCAGTTCGAAGTTTATCCAGCTGGTATAGAAATGGACGTTAAGAATGGCAAAAAAAAAAATAATTCCATTCCACCGGGAAATCTATGAATGGTTACATCGATTCAAATTCGTCCCACGCGGTTTCTCGGTTCCTTTGAAATTGACGTGATCGACGAATCGAGCACCTGACTCGGAGGGACCGGTCTGCGCATGCGCCCCCGCTAGTGTTGCGTTCCGAGCGATTCGCCAAGTGGATCGAGCCAGTGTTGGACAGACACTGTACGGTGTCACGTGCGCAGTATTTTCGATCAATTAATCGGACGATCCGTTCGACGCGCGAAAATTGCCGGCGAAACGAAAACGAAAAGGCGAACGGTGCGTAATCGTGAACATATCGGATTACCCTTTCTCGCGAGGTGAGTCTTTCAACCGTACGAAATACTAGATTGATTCACGTACTAGCCTTTGTTCCTTCTTTTTTCAATTTATTTCGGTCTGGAACAGTTTGATGTTAACACTACATTTCTTACTCAAATACTTATTATATTATTATGATTTATCTGTATTCTTATTTTTTAATCAATTTTGTTTGCCAACAAATTTGACACATGCGATGGAAGTTACCCATGTCTGAAACGAATAGATTTACAATTGTTCATTTTGTTAAGAGTTTGTTGAATGAACTGAAAGTGAAGCGAAAGAGAAAGTCGCTCAAGCTGAAGGTATATCTTCTGTTTGAGGAGACGTCTCGTCATTTGGAATTGTAAATAATTCTATAGAGTAATGAAAAAAATACGTAACAAATATGTAAAGAAATTGAAGCAGGTCTGTATTTACTCGATGTTCAAATATGAAATTTATGGCAAATACAGAAGCCAATCTTTTGGCAGAAAGGCAAAATAAATAAACAGGAGAAGATACAAGAAGAAATTTAATACGTATATTCTCTGGTAATGAATTACTGTATTCCACTTCTAAAATAGAATCAGAAATTTACAATTTCAAATCATGTGAAACGTGTTGAGAACCGACAAAAGTAGCTGCACTTCCGTCTGCATTATTTAATACGTTTAAAAGTCTCTTCGAAAATTCTAGTAACATTTCATGTTTCATTGATACATTGTCAGAAGAAAATTCACAGATTTCGCTCTATGTAAACAAAAATTAGTAATTTATAGTATAAGTATCTACAGAAATGAAAATTTCGCCGGAATAAAATTATAATAATGTAAATATGAAAATCAGTATGCAAGATCAGCAGACGTCTGTTGATCTTAGCGGAGACCAGCTTCCATTGAATTACCACGAATGCAGTGGCCAACATACTAGCGGTGCAGCAATTAATCTCGCTGCATTAAAAAAGACTCTCGGCATCTTTGAGAGGCTGCACGCACAGTAGCAGTCGTTATATTACGTATGTATGTCACTGGTTAACGCATCCCGTCTCACACGAGACAGACAAAAACGTCAATCCGTGCTGCAGCCGTTTATTTTGAATGGAGTGTTAGTTTCTAATTATAGACCTACCTTTAAATTAAAAATTTTGATTGTACATTTAGATTTGATCATTAATATTCAAGTTGGAAGTAGAAAAATTTTAATAAATAACATTAATATTTTTGTAAAAAGCACTGTTTCACTAAATTAAAATCAAGATATAAGTAACATTGATGAAGTTCTAATTCTCGACTAATATAAATATTCAAAACCAGTAGACAGTAAATATTAATCATCAAATAATTACATGGTAATATTATATTTGTATATCAAGAATTTTAAATGCTACTGATGACCTATTTTAATATTATTGTGAAGACATAATCTTATACAAATGATGTCGAAATATAACATGATTTTTCTTCTTGACTTTGTTAGTGAATGCATACATTTGATACAGAAGATTATTTATTCTTATATAAGACTACATCTTCTAATAAAATAACGCCTAGAAACAAAAAAATAGTAGTTTGGTACCAGTTTCAAAATAAACGGCTCATTCGATTCGGCCAGGCACAAAAATGAACACCGTGAATCCCGAATGTTAAATATGCGCCGCGTTTATTTTACGAGCGTGACTCAGAGTGTATTTTCTTCGCGCACGAACGTTGTTTTCAAAGTTTCCGTTCACAATGCTGATTTCGTTCAAAAATTTTCTACGTTCATTGTATTATCGTTGAAAAAGTAAAACTCAGAGAATTAGTAATCCGGTTACGCAAGAATTTTCAAGCAAACAGCACTTATACATTTTCGTTTTGCCAATAATCAAACACCTGGCATCAAACTGGAGTCAAAACTGCTCAAACATTCAATGTAAAGAAACAGTGCTAATTTATGAATACAAGAAACAATTCCTTACAAAAGCCTTTTAATGATTTATAAACCTTGTCGACATAAATAACCAAACTCGACGATTTAATTTATTTATTCTCTGAGGTATTGTTCAATAAATATAATACTCCTATACAAGGTTAATTGTTGTGTTTATAAGAACAAATGCTACGAAAAAAAATCGTTTTAAAATTAGATTCGTAATAGTCTTTTCGTAAACACAGTAGCAACTGAGATATTTTGAATTTTACTTTTTAAAGATAATTACCGCCTTCTGTTCTTTTGTAAGAGTTGTAATACCATATAAACAGGCTACTTGTCAATCCGACCACTCTTCTAAATACATACAATACATACAATATACCTACTTACAGGCAAAGTAACATAGAATTCCTTCCAACAGTCTTCAATGATGTTGAAATATATAAACAAGGAGAAATTTTATTTTGTCTCGAACGTTATTAAACTGCGAATAATCTAAAAAACTAGAAAACGGTGCAAAGCATTGATTAGCAACTTTTTTTTGCAGCAGCCCAAAATTGAAAACCCAATAATCTGAACGGGTGGTTGCAACCACAACCTTAAATAACCCAATTTATTAATTTTAACAAATCATTAACTTCAGTTACGTCTAAGAAGAGTCGAAGTCTAAACAGAATTTGCTTACAATTTAAAACACTCTTCTGTTTAATTAAGTTGTCAGTCTGTGGTGCTATACAGAGAACTGTCAGTTACGGAGATGGTCAAGAGACGCGGCCGATTCACGTTCCTTGTCGCATACGTAACCCAGTGAGCAGACGATCGTTCACGGTAGATGGGCGGAAGGTCATATCCCACTTTCCGTCTTCGTGGATGGTTTATCCATGTAAGGTGTGCTTCAAGGACCGTTCGGATCATGATCTCGCGAGCAGCAGAGTTTAGTGATATATAGGGTGGACCACAGAAGCAGACTACCTTAGTATCTTGTATTCTGATGCTGTTGCCAAATGTATGCCACGGAAAGCTTGATGCTACCAATATCAATTATTGTAGTATTTCTTCAACTGGGATTCATTTTTCAATCTTAAAATGACATTTGAGCTGTTCACAGGCCGAAGTGACTAATCCCACTTTTTGAACTTTTTCAAATTTTAGGGCCAAAGCAGTTGATTACTGCTTAACTTTTTATAATTAATTTCTTTAGTAATTTTTGTAGAGTTAACACTTTGACTGTCACGTCGCTCAAATATGGGTGACACATACATTGCAGAGGCTGCATTAGTTCAATTACCGTTACAAAATTTTTCCGTAAAATTAATATCGCCGTATAATTTAAAACAAGACCAACAGCCTCTATTAACTAAACGCATATATATTCGACGATTTATGACTTAAAAATCGAAATAACGTGTATCTGGCTACATACGGCCTTTATCACTGTGACAGTCAGTGTTAATCTCATTGGTAAATGACCAGCTCAATTGACATTGACACTAAGACCAACACAACAATTGGAAATAAATTCTTTTCAGCGAAAATAATAACGTAACTTGAATGTGATAGACGTATTTGTAATTTTAAACTAAATAGCAGGAATAATTTAATATTAAATCAATATTTCTAGCTTTTAAGTTTCACAATTAATACTCTTAATTTTTACAAAATTGTCTACTACATTTGTTTATACATGCTATAATATGTTAAAATATGTAAATCGTCGTATGTACCTATCCTTCAACTGACAATGAGGAACATATAGTATACGAAACGTGAAATATTTTATGAGAGAATGAAATGAAATTATTAAATAAAGATATCAATGTATTTGCCGAGTATCTGATTGAAATATCATTAAAAAATAAGAGGCATGTCATTTCGTTAAAAAAGAATATATATTATCAATATTGGTAAACAAGTGCTTCTACTGATTGACTGTCTTTTCTGACATACGTTACTATAATATCAATTTAAGAGTAGATTGTGGAATAATTTGTTTTTAATGGGTTATTCTGTATACATAGAATGATCTATGAACTATTGAACAATGGAAACGGTCCCATTGCACTAATAAGGATAAGGTTAAATGCGAGTTCATTGACACAAATATTTGTATGACCAAAGTGTTTGTAGACCAAGGAAATATTTTTATAAAAAGAAAATTAAACAAATAATTCGTTTTAAAAGTGGCACATTAAATCTTCACACTTTTGTTAACTTTTTAGCTAAAACTATGTCGGATTCTACTATTAATTAATATCTGCAATGCTCTACAAAAATATATGAAGTCCTATATACTCTTTTTTTGTTCGTATGTAATTCAACTAATTTGACAAACATGTGCTTAGGAGATATCGTTTATGTAATAGAATCATTTTACACACAACATATAGTATAATTCTATTTACAACTATAATGAAATGACTGCTGCTTTCATGCATTTGTAGTTTATAGGGTTCTGTCAAATATAATATAAGACAAAACTTTCATCGAATTTTTTATTTTATTCTGAATCCAATAAGATACTTACAATTAGACGAAGGAAGAAATTCCTACATTTGCTCAGGTCTTTATGAATTACTTTAGAAAATGTCATTTTTTATAAAACTCCGCAATTTAATAATTAAAATATTTCAATATTAGCAGTATAAATTTATTTTCTCAAAAATGTTTGACCAAATTGGAATCGTTTATGATAAATTGCACATTAGTATCATCAAAAATTTTGTTTCTTCATAATGTTCCTTTTTTATGTTGTACTATTTGTCAGTCCTGACAATTAATAATGATTATAATTATCACAGAATTAATAGATAGACGTAAATTCTTAAAAAATAAAATACATTAAATGAAAGTGAAATTAAGAAATGATATTACGGCAAAGTGGAACTTATCGCGGTACTGAAATGCAATTAATGATCGAGTATTTCTTGGCAAGAAGATCCACGCTTCTTCTTCGCTTTCGTTAAAGTTGCTTGGTTATATTTACGCGAGTTAAACAAAGAGCGGTACGTCAGAAGTGAGTGGGGGAAAAAAAGAACCGAATGAAACTCTAGGCGCCAGTTGGCCGGACCATTACCACCCACGCGATGTCAAATGTCCCTGTTAAATT